CCGCCTGCCTCTGCCTCCCGATGCTGGGATTAAAGGTGTGCACCACCACCTCCCATTTTCATTGCACAAAGTATATAGTCACAGGATCGCTATAAATGTGATATGATGATTACTTCCAGGAGAATAAGCAGAGAAGGAACTAGCACTAGGGTTGGGAATTTTAATTTTGTGTGTAACTATCTTTCAAAAAATTTAAAACTCTATGCATACATGTTAGTATGCAGAGAGGACTAGCCTTTAAGGTACTATGTACATTTTTTAAAAGATTTATTTTTTTATTAAGCATACAACGTACTACTGGCATGGAAGGCACCAGGCCTCATTACAGATGGTTGTGAGCCACCATGTGGTTGCTGGGAATTGAACTCAGGTCCTCTGGAAGAGCAGCCGGTGCTCTTACCCTGTGAGCCATCTCTCCAGCCCCTATGTGCAGTTTGATGTGCTGCTAAGGATCTTGAAATTAAACAACTTCTATTTTAAGATCAAGATGTGCTAGAAAGTATAAATGCTTACAAATAATACAGCATAAAAACTTACAAAAGCTTCTTTTATTTTTTGAGAGACAGAATTTTGAATTTTTAAAAAAATGAATACTGAACAGATACTAAAATGAAAATTTCTGTATCAAAAGTACCATTTCACTAAGATACAGACAGGTAATTAGCTACATATGTATCTCAGGGATCTTTTGGTTTTGTCTCCTGGAACAGTCCTTAAAATCCCAAGGTTAACATCATTTTTACCTTCAGCAAGCTCCTCCAGACTTGGCACATGAAAAGAAAACTCAGTACAAGCCATTTCCTTTCTTTTCAGCAAGGTCGCTCAGACACAGCAGCTATTGTTAACTATCACAAGAGTGCACAGGGCACCAGCAGGAAGAGTCCCCGGGGTTCTGGAAATGAATAGTAGAGTTCAATTACTAGATGAAGGCAAAGGCCACCGAGGTTCACTTACGTAAGGAGGGCAAAGTGCCCCAAGCTTCCCTCAGAGCCCCAAACACCGTCATGTCCATTCCATGTGAGTAGGAGCAGGGGACCTCTTTTCTACCATCCTTTCCCTCTTCTTCCTTTTAGATTTTCTATTTTCTTCCCTCCCTTCTTCCTTCCTGGTGGTGTTTTATGTAGAACCCAGGGTCTCAGCTAAGTGCTGTATCCCAACCCAACACTACTTGAATCTGTTCTCTTTCATTTCTGTGTTCAGTACTGAGATGGAAGCAGGGCCTCAGGCATGCCAGGAAAGTGCTCCCCCCCCCCCCCCCAGTGCTATACTCAGCTCAAACCTGGGCTTTTCTAATGCAGGGTCTAAGAACATGGTCTTGAAACTAGAGATATGTATAAGGATTATAAACAAATGGTTTACTGTATGTGTGCATGTGCATATGTACATACAGTTTACAGGAGTCTACACTGTTATATCTGTATAGAACACACAATAGATCATGTTTCCTACTCTCTTATTTGACGTTTAAACTAAAAGTTAGTTGTCTTAGACTTAAGTGTTTTAATATTACACTTGTTTATTTGTGTATGTGTGTGTTTGTGTGTGTGTGTGTACGTGCACACCACAGTACACCTGTGGAGACCACAGGACAACTTATAGGACTTGGTTCCCTCTCCAACACGTGGATCCTGGGGACTGAAGTTGGAGAGTCAGTCCTGATGGTAAGTTCCTTTACCCACCCGCCAGCTTAACTGAAGTCAGCCAGTCTGACTACCCTTATTAGTATTTCTAAATGGAGAACAAATTTTATTCTAAAGTAGATCTCAGTATCAACAAACAGGAGTTCATTTATTTTTTCCCTTGAAGCTACAAAATTATGTTATAGGATATGCTGTCAAATTTCATTTCCTTTTACATTTGAATTATTCCTTTATCATTTTAATAAGAGACAATTTTAGTTACCAATTGAAATGGAAACCTATAGAATGATTAGATTCTGAAAGTCAAATTTTTACTTTAGTTTACAAATAACCTAACCAATATAATCTTATATTTCCAAGAATGCACAGCAAGAGCACTATACAGTAAACAAACACAAATATGCAAAGGACAGTCAGGGCTACATAGAGAGGACTGTGAACTCAAAAGCAGCCCTGTGAGTCCAGTGTGCACTCCAATCCCAAGCTGAGTCAGCAGCGAAGAAGTGGTCCCTTCATCTGACAAAAGGAAGTAAGTGTTTAGAGTGACCCTGCAGCACCTACTAGAACTGGTCACACTTAAGCTTCATCTTCCTCCCAGACTGGATTTCTTCTCTCTTTCAAGTATCTTGCACACAATGGGTGCTTTATTAGTTCACCAGTAAGCATTTATGATATACCAGACTGGCAAGATTCAAGCACATGTCTGGCTTCACAGCTGTGCAAATTGTACAGTCAGTCACACAGAACCCTGTATTCATATAGATCTATGCATATCAAAAACTACACAAACAGGTGGCTTGTGTTTTCTGTCTTGTTTTGATTTTTTGTTTTGTTTTGTTTTGTTTGTTTGTTTTTGATGGTGCCAGGGATTGAACTCAGGACCATGCATGCTAGGCAAGCTCCCTATAATAGCTCTGTCTCTAGGCCAGCAACTTAACATCTGAACTGTGTTTGGAAACTCACAGGCTAGTGAAGCATGAGCAGGGCCAAGGTATGCTCGCCACACCTGGCCACCCACTAGATAAGGTAGGGTTTTTTTTTTTTTTTTCAAGACAGTATTTCTCTGTGTAACCCTTCTTCTTGGAACTTGTTCTGTGCATCAGGCTGGCCTCGAACTCAGAGGCTGGCCTGACTCTGCCTCTGGAGTGCTAGGAATAAAGGTGTGTGCCACCACCACCTTCACCTGGCCTAAAAAGGTGTTTTTAATGTCCCATTAGAACTTAATCCTGGTAGATTGCCATGGTTGGGAGTCCACAGATAGTCAATTCTACAAATTCCAGACTACAGGCAAAATGTGTAGGGATCAGGAAGTAAAAGGAAGGCAAGTGAGTTAGTTTGGTACACCGTTCCACAGCTACGGTAACAATTCATAACTGGTACAAGTTATGAAGCAGAACTCCAAATTGCAGTGATTCTTTTTTTTTACCTTTATGACTATGGATATTTTGTTTGCATGTACACCTGCGCACCATGTACTTGCCTGGTACCTGCAGAGGCTAGAAGGGGTCATCGGAGTCCCTATAACTGAGTTACAGATGGTTGTGAGCTGCCACATGGCTTCTGAGAATCGAACCAGGGTCCTCTGGAAGAGCAACCAGTGTTCGTAACCGCTGAGCCATCTCTCTAACCCCTCAAACTGCAGTGATTCTTTACTAGGGTCCCTTGACCTTAGTAGGCCCTAAGACCTGAGCACAACTTACTCTATGATGGAAGTGCCATTCAGGCTGTAAAACTCAGAACATAGACAGCACCACCTGCCAAGACTAAAACAAAGGCCTAATCCATCAAAACTGTGGATCAAAGTCCATAGTTCTGGGACAGCTTCTAAATGTACTAACCTTGCTCTTTAGCTTCCGTAGTTCCGCTTGGCTAACTGTTCATGTTACCTAAGTATGTCAACCAGGACATAAATTTTTGTGCTTAAAAGCTCATTCTGGCTCAGTTTTCTGCTTGGCTAACTGTTCATATTACCTAAGTATGCCAACCAAGATATGATTTTTGTGCTTTAAAGCTCACCCTGGCTCAGTTTTACACTGGGATCCTGAACACCCAGTGTGGCTGCCAGTCAGCTAATAAAGGCTTTCTATTGGTTTACACCCATGTCTGAGCAGTCTTCTCTGGTGAACGTCCCAACAATTCTGCTCATTAAGTTCTTTTTTGGTTTTTCAAAACAGGGTCTCTCTGTGTAGCCCTGGCACCGTGGAACTTACTCTGTAGACCAGCTTGGCCTGGCCTCATAGAGTCTGCCTCCTGAGTGCTGGGATTAAAGGCGTTCTCCACCACTACCACCCAGCTGCTCATTGCATTCTTTTTTCTTTTTCTTTTCTTTTTTTCTTTCTTTTTTTGTTTTTTGTTTTTTTGAGACAGGGTTTCTCCGTAGCTTTGGAGCCTGTCCTGGAGCTAGCTCTTGTAGACCAGGCTGGCCTCGAACTCAGAGATCCACCTGCCTCTGCCTCCCAAGCTCTGGAATTAAAGGTGTGCACCACCACCGCCCGGCTCATTAAGTTCTTAGGCACTGGCAGTACACACATAAGGAAAGATGGTAAAACTGTGCTAATAATTCTATTTTTTATTTATTTAGGGGAATAACATTCTTTTGAGTCAGGGTCTCACCATGTAGCCTAGGCTGGCCTGGCAATCCTCCTTGCTCAGACTCTCCAGTTCTGGGATTTCCCACCGTGCCCAGCTAGTTGTCTCTTTCGTTTTGAACAGGACCCTGCATTTTGACTTTGCACTGGTCCTTTCGCAAGACACGGGCTCTGAATGTGACAGTTTTTGATGCCTGTCTTGGAGTTTACAGCGATTGCACTGGCTGATCGCAAGTAGACCAATACCTTACGTAATCAATCACAAAACGGTAACAACCACTTACTAAGGGCAGGTAGCCCTGCTGGCTGGCTTGTCATACAATACAGAGGTGCAGCATGGAAAATAACTCAAACCAGCTCATTACTGAAGAGAAAGTACTAAACCTTGGTTTACACTGTTCAGTCAGCTGAGGATCTGAGGGAAGCAGCCCATGCCTGCTGCAAGCGAACTCCTGGAGGGTAGGTAGCGTGACTAGAGCAGCCGGCACCCTGTGTCTGAGGGGGAACTCGGCCCCCACAACAAACGGACGCTCACCTGACCCACAGTGTCTTCACGCTTGCAGGAATGCCTTCTTTCCACCACTCTGGAACACAGCTTCCCAGTCCCGCCGCTTGTACTCCTCTGCCAGCTCAGGCCCTGAGGACGAGCCGGTACCGCCCCTCCCGGAGGCCCGCCCATCACAGTCCACCCACATGGCCACGCCCACCGCGTAGCCGCGCTCTCGAACCCACCGGCTGCTGCGAGTTCACGCGAGATTTCGGCTGTCCTAGTCAGGCTGCAGCGGGCGGGAACGGTCTTTTCGGCGTGGTGGAGGAGGAAGACGCCTGGGTTTGCGTTGGGAACCCGGTCTGGCGCGACCGAACGGTGGGGGCCGCGGGTAGAGCAGGCCGGGGCTCTTTGTCGACTGTCCTCACGGAGTCGGCACTGAGGTCGGGCGAGGCGCGGCGGTTGGGGCTTTGGGCCCTGCTCGGGGCCTTGGCAGGCCGCGCAGGCTCCCGGTCGCTGTCGGGAGGTACCGAGGAGAATCCGGCCAGGAAGGTCCTCTAGGTGCCTTGTGCTCCCTGCCTACATCTCTTAGCGCGCTTAGAGGCTCTTGTCGGTCAGCCCACGGCGTGTCTTCGCACCAGTGGCTTGACACTCAACACGTGGCCTCCAAACTTAAGATTCACAATTGGAAAGCGCCATACAGGTACGATTGGTTTCGAGATAGGTCGCTGCAGTGTAGTTTGCAATTACCTTAGAATTTACACACAGATATATTGTTGGTACAAACGGCCTAAGTTGTTACATTTTGGTTTTTGGAACCTGCCCAGGAACTAGCACTTGTAGACCAGGCTGGCCTCGAGCTCCCAGAGTTCCACCTTCCTTTGCCTCCTGAGTGCTGGGATTAAAGGCGTGCACTACCACCAGCCAGGCTACATTGTTTTGATGGATTAATTTAAACAATTGATGTCTAAAGTCTTAGTTACCTGGTTTTCTTATGGGTTCTGATTAGTTTAGATCTAGAATTTGTGTAGCCTAGAATAATGTTGAAGCTTTTTTTTTTTTGTATGTGCTGGTGTTTTGCCTGCCTTTTATGTGCACCACGTGCGTGCAGTGCCCAGGGAAGAGGTCATCGAATTCCCTAAAACTGGTTGCAGCTGTCCACACCCCTTGGTGGTTTTTGGAGGGTTTCTCTATTTAACAGGCCTGGTGCTCTGGCATCTGCTTTGTAGATCAGGCTGTAGGCGAACTGAATGCCGTCTGCATCTGCCTCCCGAGATCTGGGATTAAAGGCATGCGCCGCCACCACCTGCCCAGTTACAGCCCTTTTTAAGGGTGCTGGGAATTTAATTTCGGGTCCACTGAAGTGCAGCCCAGTACTCTTAATGCTAAGCCATCTGTCCGGACTCACCCCAGAGGTTCCTGTGTGTTCTTTCTTAGGGATTACAGGCCTGTGGGCGTTTTGACCAGTAGTTTAATTTTGCACCACAATCTCAGTAATGATGCTCTTGTTTCAGCCTTCCATGGGTACTCATTGGAAGTAGTAATACTATATTAATTACTGTGTGTCAGGCTGGTGGTAAAGTCACTGAGGTGCTCTTGTTAGGTAGATTTAAATAGAGAACAAACTGCATTGGAATGTGCTTTCTTATGCCTGGATTCCTGGCGGTGTCCGGGAAGCCAAAAAACATACCATATCATGTAGCTGGAGTTAAGAGAGTTGTGAGCCACCGAGTGTGATCTAAAGTGGACTATTCTCAGATTGATTTTTATCTGAATTCACGTGGTGGTATGGTGTGTGCTTAACTTTAATGAAGAGTCTTGGATGTTGGGGAAGGTGCATAACACTGAAATTTGTAATTGCAGAAAACTGGGTAAGGCAGAGAGGAAGTGATGGCTCAGTCAGAAGAGAACTCTGTTGACTGCATGACACCTGATGGAGCTGACAACACTGGAAACCACAGGTAAGGCAGGTGGTGGGTAAACTTCTAGATTCAGTGCACAGTTCGATTTATTTTGAGACAAGGACTCAGTAGGTGACCACTGGTGGGCTCATTCAAATGACAATGCCTATGCCCCCAAGAGCTGGGATTAAAGGCGTATTAAGACACGGGACATATTCTTATTTTAGGATAACTGCATTTTTTTCTGACGAAATTGGCTTTTGTCCCATAGGTAGTGCTTTACTGGTTAAGCAGATGATTTGTGGAGCTTTTCTCTTAAGATAAAGTTAAACATTTAACAAACTGGTGCTTTAAATATGATGGCTGTACTAACTGTACTTGGTCCATTCTAAAATGTTGGGTATGATTTGAGGGGGCTGGCTTTTGAAGGAAGGTACATTTAAACTTTGAACATTTTCATCCAATTTGTCTTAAGTGTACTTTGCCTACAGTCTGTATCATAGGAGTTCTTGGTTCTCCAAATAGGAGAGGTCGTTGAGCTCCTTCAAGCTGTAGTTGTAAATACTGCCTGAGCAGCCACTCATGAATGGGAACTGTTTCTAGTGATAAGTCAGTAATGCAGTTTATTTATTTATCTATTTTAGTGATGACTCATCTGAAAGCTTATTTAAAACACAGTACATTCCTTTACCCACACAAAAGCAAAGAAAGCCTACTGCAAAATGTGTCATTTCACCTGCGAACATTGAAACCGACTCTTCAAGTGACTCCTCTATAGAACCAAGGCCTTTGACTTTAAAGGCCATTTTTGAAAGATTTAAGAAAAAGAAACGGAAAAAGAGGAAATACAAGCCAAAGTCGAGACCAAGGGAAAGACCACCTGGAATAAAGAACACTAGAAAGCCTAGGAGGTCACAAATAGATGTGAAACAAATTAAAGACAAAGGAGCTGTGCTTCCATTCTTAGAATCTGAAAATGGAAGAAAACCCTTACCTTGGAAGAAAATTTTAACATATGAGGTGAGTCATTTCTCATGTATGTGGTAAAATTAAATGGGGTTGTTGTCCCCCCTTCCTCTTCCAGTCAGGGATTCTCTGTAACAGCTCTGACTATCCCAGAACTTTGTAGACTAGACGACATGGTTTTTTTTTTTTTTTAGTGTGCATACAGTTTCAGAGAATGATGTTCCAAGTGTTCTATGCAGAAAAGCCCTTTATCTTGTCTCAAATACTCTCAAGTATACCATGCCCAACTTTCATTTCAGTAGCCCAAGTCAAACCTTTTCAAAGTAAGGAGGCATCACATCCTCAAGTCCATTTTTAGAAGTGCCCAAAGGGCTGGAGAATAGGAACATAGAGGATGCTGCTTGCTAGCTGGTCATGCATTGAGTCCAGCAGCCTTTGCCCAGAGAATGGTACCGCCCACAATCTAAGCAATCTACACTATAATAGGAGCAGTCCATCAGTTTGGGACCACTTCCAAGGTGATTCTGACCTGTGTCAAATTGAGTTAAAGCTAACTAGAACAAGGGATGTATGGAGAGTTACATAGCTGAAGAACATTTAAGGACACAGGGTCACAGCCATCTCTAACCCCAGTGATGCGCCCTTCTGTTCTCTGAGGGCACCAGGCATGCATGCAGTGCACATGTAGGCAGTCAAAACACCCATATACATGAAATCAGGAAAATTTGAGTACCCAGATATTACGTTTTTAAAATATTTGAGTATTAAGTGTAGAAATGCACATATTCCTTTGGAATTTGTAAACAGAAAGGATTAATGTCATTCTTTTCATGTATATGCATGTACAGCCTTAGCATAGCTTGCCAATTTAGGTTGTCCTTCTATTCAGCTTGTTCTTGGTACTGTCTTACACCTTCCAAGTCTGGAATTATAGTAGAACCACCTTGTATACTCGGCATTTACATGGTTTCTTTTTTTTTTGTTTCTCTGGCTTTGGAGCCTGTCCTGGAACTAGCTCTGTAGACCAGGCTGGTCTCGAACTCACAGAGATCCGCCTGCCTCTGCCTCCCGAGTGCTGGGATGGTGCTGGGCCACCATCGCTGGGCCCCATGGTTTCTGTTTCCAAATCTGGTCCACTTGATGCACAGTGAGCCATCTCCCAGCCCCTTGTAGAATTTCAGGCTTTATTATATTTAAGGAATTCTGTTTTCTAACTTGAAGCAAGCTGTTGCAAGAGGATTTTTTCACCACATTGAAAAACTCAAGTATGAGCACCATCTTAAGGAATGCTTAGAACAAATGCATGCTGGGGAAGATTTAGAAAAGGAAGACTTTGACAGCCGGAGACACAAGTACATGGATGATGATGGTCCTCTTTCTCCCATTGACGAGCCATTGTAAGTTGGATCTTGAAGAATAATTTGTTCCTAGGCTTGGTGGTTTGTGCTTTTATTTTTAAAGGTAACTTAATGTGCAATTCCACATTTAGCTATATAGCTTTGGCTGGGCTTGAACTCATTGCCTCTTTTCCAAGTGCTAGTGGTAAAGACATGTGACCTTGCTAGACTAACCATCCACTGATCAAATGCTGAAGCAGTAACAATAATTTCCATCACATTTAGGATTGTTTGTGTTAAGTAGATGCACAGGGATATTTATTATGCACAGGATATTATGTATTCCTTAGAGTATAAGTCTTTGTAGCATCAAAATATAAGGTATGTGATATATGTTTTTAATGTTACAGAACAGAAGACGAGGCAACAAGTCCTGAGTCTGAATGCGATATCAAATTGGTTGTAAGTGATCTTTATTATTTATGGAATGTAGAAGTTTTTTTTTTTTTTTTTTTTTTTTTTGCCAGGGACAGAAGAGGCAGCTTTATTGTAGAAACGCTGGGCCTGCAGGTTTAAAATAGGAACAGACTTTCAAGTGCACACCAGTCCAGACTCCCCTGTTCATATCCGAACCCCTCTCCAGTTTCTCACATGTTTGTCCTCCGCAGCAATCACTTCCTTAGGGTCTCAGACACAGGAATGTAGTTGTATACAGTTGCTTCTATAAAAATTTTGTTTAAACTTAACATAGGAGACATAAGAATGGAAATACCCAAGGATATTTGATACTGAGCTTTTTTTCTATTGCTGTTCTTAATGCTTATCCCCGATGTTGGGATTCAAAGCTCAGGGCTATGCATTTACATTATGACAAGGTACTCATACTCAGGGTGTGTTCCTGCAATCATGTGTGGAGGCTGGAAGTCAGTATCCTTTCTTAATTTTGTCAGATAATATCAATGACCCCTGAGATCACAGACCTGTGGATTAACATCCTAGCACCTTTCTTGCTATAGGCATGACTCCATTCTTAAGGCTTTTTTTTTTGCTTAAGAAATTATTACATATTAGTGTTTTGCCTACAGACATGTCCATGTCTTATAATCTGGGGAGGTCAAGAAGAGGTCATATTTCCCTTGGAACTGAAGTTAAACACATGCTGGTGCTTGGAATTGAATATTAGTCTTCTGTTAGGAAGATAAGCCAGTGTTCTTATCTCTGCACTTACTAAAATGCTTTGTAATTAACATTTAAGTGGTCTGATAGATATGTGGACTGACATGAGAAAATACTGTAGATGTTAATTTGGACTTTGAATAAATAGATGTAGCCCTCATCCACCTGTCAGTGGTGAGCTTAGTTGCTAACAGTTATTTTTTTTTCTTTAAATGTAGCAAAACAGTTGCTTCATAATAAGCTCAGAATTTCCAAAGAGAAATTTAGAACAAAAGAAGACTAAGAATCTGCATTCTCTAAAAAAAACTAAGGGTAAACATAACCGCACAAGACAGCACACGGAACAGCCTGGAAAGGAGATGTACATCTGACTTATCAAAGAAGGTAAAGAACACTCAGAAACAGTGACTTAATAGCAAGACATGACTACAGGTGTTTCATTTGGCAAGTACATGAAGAAAGGACCCGAGCCAGCTTGCGAAAGAAGCCACAGAGGACTGGGAAAGCAAATACTTAGGAATTTCTTTTTAGAGCTTGGATACTGGAACATTAAAAACAATTGTGATATTGATCTATTGATCCTGGAAGAAAAATGCTAATAGGAAATCTGCACGTCTTTCTGATTTCAGGAACCCCAGCCCAGTGACTGATTCCAAACAAAGTTTTTAAAACAGAATCATATCTTTGTGAGTGTTTGCATGAATGTGTGTATACATCCTAGTATATATATCAGGGCTCTTGGAAATGGAATTTACAAGATGGTTATTAACCAGCCATCTTGTGAGGTGAGGGATGTAAGCTAAATCACAACCTCTAAGAATGCTCTTCTGTGAACAAACTTTTCATACCCTCTCTCCCAAACACAGCTCCAGGATGCTACAACCCCTGTGTGCTAGCTTCTGACTAGGTGTGTAGTTCTTTAGTCAAAAAGAGTGTCTTCCTCTAGGATGCTTCATACATCCTGTGGTCACACTGTAAAGCTGGCTTTTGTGTCAGATTTCTATGGCTTTGGGCAGCACTTGTATATGTTTTTGTTCAACTGGTGGACAAAGGCAGGTTAGACAGGTGCAAAAATAAATCCTCTTTTGCAACCCAGAACTCATTGTTCAATATGAGTTTTGATACATACAAGAAGGAATATATATTTAATTCAGCATCAAGGGATTATGGTATTGATGAGGTTAGTTCTTCACTATCCTGGACTTTTGAGGCATAGGTATCTAACATGATGAATGTTTCTTTTTTAAAGGCTTTATGAAGTCAGAATTGAAGATACCCATGAAGGGATGTGTGTTTCAATGTAGTAAGTGGCATATTGTCAATTTATATCTTCAGAGTTGTGTGAAAGGGGAGTGCTCCAGCCATCAGTAAATCCTGGAGCATGGTCAAGCATGAATATTTAGAAACAATTTGAAATGAGAAGTTTAGCAGGTGAAAGCTATAAGGCCTCATACTGAAGTTAAAATATTACCTATAAACATTCTGAAACATATAATTACTGCAGAAGTTTGTAACGTTAATCTCTAAAAGAGGTGGTAGCAGAAACCTTTAAACCCAGCACTCTGGAGACAGGCGGGCGGGTTTCTATGAGTTCAAGGCTAGCCTGGTATATAAGAGCTAGTTTCCAGGACAGCCAGTGCTGGACAGAGAGAACCCTGCCCTAAAAACAAACCAAAATAAATTAGCAAATAAAGTAATAGTATGTGTACTGGTGATTAGAACAGTTTGGTAAAGAATTCTTACCATGTGGTATACTGATTAGTATTTGAGAACACAGCCCTCTAAGAGCCTAACTGTTCTGTGATGACTTTTTGTGATTTCCTTCAGCTCCTATTTGTAGATGTTCATATGTAGGCTTCACAATGCTTGCTTTTTGAGGTCTATCCCGATGGGGCTTCTCAGTAGCCACACATCGTTGGAAACGCCTCATATAGTAACTTGTGGTTGCTTGACTCACAGGGCTGCTTGTGGTTAGGTCTGTGAAAGAAACTACAAGACATAAGACATCTAAAATGTTTGAAGCAATAATATATCACCTTTTCTTTTAAACTTCAGGCCCTGGTATGCCTTCACAATGATTAGTATGATGTTAGGTAAGTCTGGTGGCACTGTATCGTGGGGAAGTATTGTTACAGTTCAAATGATGAATTGAAACTGTTCAGCTGCTGAATGATACAGACATGAACTAAAACTTAATTCTGATAGAACTGACTACAGCTATTAACTCTGGACAGTGAACTTAGTTTTCATAAATGGAAATCCAATCTTAAAATCTTATGTACTATTCTAGGAATGAGTAAGCAGAACTCTTCAAACACACTGGTAAGTGAAACTGAATCTTGTTAGTTTTTATTGTGTTCTCAGCAAAAACAATTGCTTTATGTATAGACTAGAAAAAATGTTTCTTTGTGCTTTCGTGTCATGCTAAGTGTCTAGAAATGATGTTTGAGTTCTTTAATGATACACTCCTGTATTCCACTCCTGTAATCCTAGGAGTTGGGAGCAAGGATCAAGTTAGAGGCCAGCCTGGGGAACAGGGAAACTTGCTAAGTAGGTAACTCACTAGATGAAGAGCTATCTGTCCCAGAGTACCACAGTTCAGAACCATTGCAGCCAGGCAGTCTTGATAGCCAAACCTGGGATCTCTGGCTTCAGTGAGAAACACTCAACCAGCAATATGTATTGCAGTTCACATAATGCAGATACATTAGGCCAGTTAATGGTTTGATTTGGGCAATTTTCCAGTGGGAGTGGAATGAAGGCTCTGAGATGGAATGCTGCATAAACTGGACAGCTGAAAGGCCATCCGGCCTCCTTAACATGTGGAATGTTTGTATGATTTAGAGGAGATAATGATTAGGACCGTATCATTAGTTTCTTCATTAGGAACACCAGGCTTAGGAATTAGCACTGCATGGTATCTGCACTCAGTAGTCCTTTCCTGCTGATGTGTTCAAAAGACAGTGCAACAGAAATTCACTATCTGGCATCGTTGGTTTCTTGGCTCTGTGCAAGATAACCTGGTATTTCTAATGATACAGTTATTTTACACTGGATATGGGTGCCCTGTGGAGGTCAGAGCAAGTTTGATTGAAATACGGGTTCTAAGCTTGGTGGCATTATCACCTGCTTGATGAAACTACTCTTTTTATTCCTAGGGTGTCAACAAATGAGAGGCCTGGTTTAAAATGGTAAGGCCCCATTTTTGTTTGCTTCTAGATGGTTTTATTTGATGCATAGTGCATGAGACTGAGCCTCATTCTACTTAAGGATGGGCACTGTCAGTCAGTGTCTAGAACTGGTGAATGTGGCTAAATTGAGACACAGGTCATGCTTCCATCACAGTAGATGCATTACAGTGGTGACAATGAGGCCTGTGACATTTGCCCACTATAATCTTGGGTTTGAAGACATGTTAATAGTTCATTTCATAGCAGCTGGAGAGATGGCTCAGTGGTTAAGAGCACTGCCTGTCCTGAGCTCAGTTCCCAGCAACCACATGGTGGCTTACAACCATCTGTAATGAGATCTGGTGCCCTCTTCTGGCCTGTAGGCATACATACAGACGGAATACTGAGAATACTGTATACATTCATAATACTTTCTGTGTTCAATGTTTTAGGTTCCTAATGTAAATTGGTTTGAAGAAGGCACCAGAATTGTTACGGTAAGATGCTAGCTTGAGATTATAGACTGAAATTTGCTGCTCTGGTGGAAAGACACTACCAGTAAGAGATGATGTTGTGATGATAGACAATGTTCAACTGCTCTGAATGGGCTGAGTGAAATAGTCTTTCTGAACATCATCTATTGGTGGGTCTCTCCAGATTCCATATATGCATATATATACACAAAGGATCTTTGAATCTGGTGAATGGTGTTGGAATGTAGCTTACATATGTGAGCAAGACAATCTGGCTTCATAGCCAGAAGCCAAACAGTTCTCCTCCTCCGAAGGGCCATGGTTTCAGACAATATTTAGTGCACGGAGCAATTTGAGATGAGAACTTTCAACACAGATAATTTTGGGCAGTGGATTTTAGGATACTAAATGAGTAACCTCAATCTTTATTATACATTTTTTTCCCACAGGTGAAAAACTGAATTAGTCATGAGTGTTCTGGCTTAAATTCAAGGAGAGATGAGAACAAAAGGCAAGTAGTAGTAGTCATTTAATGTTCTTAGTATGTAATGGTCATTACCAAGGCTTTGAGAATTCAGTTTCTTCTTTGCTGTGGACATGACCATAAAAAAAAATTCCCAATAGGTTTTCTATGTGCTGCTTGGCTAGCAGTTAACCTGTTGGGGACATTTTATTCCTGATGAGTAAATTGTGTTAGAATGCTCAGGTGCTGACCTCTACCTTGTTCTTGTTATACAGGGCTAAAGAGTACAATCAGACAGAGTGAAAGGTGCGTATGCAAGAAACACTTCAAAGAGGGTCATTTCAAAGAGGGCTTGTTGGATGGTGAAACCTAAAGCTCTTTACGCTGTGACCAAAGATTGATGTTCTTCACAGAAGAAGGCAGGCACTTGATATAGTGTTGTGTTTTTCTGAGAAGATAACATGCATTCCCCAAGTCAGAAGCTGTGAGAGCGTAACTTAATTCTTTTTTTAACTCCCTTCAGAAATCTGGAAACCACGTGACTCAGGCTGGAGAGCAATGGAATCAAATCCCTTAAATAAAAATTTATTTACAATAAATAATTTTGTCTAGTTTTATACATGAAACTAAAAGAAAACCCTTTACACAGTTTATAGGAAGTCAGCATGTATTTTTGGTTCGAAGTTTCTCTAGTGTTTTCTGTAGAAGGAATGAAAATTAATTTAGTTTTGTTTGAATTTTGTTTGCTTTTTAGAGGGAAAAACTGGCTCCTGCTCACCTTATGAAATTCTTTTGCCCTTGCTATATTTTGGGCACAGACTTCTTGCTTTGTTTTTTCTTCTCTTTGCTGTTTTACCTCAGCTAACTGCCTGTATAATCTGTAAGAAATGTACATGGGATTAAATGGGAATTAATGGCTAAATAGTACAAGTAAATAACATTGCCCATACCTTAGTGCCCTCTGGTGTATGAGGGCTTGTGTGGTCCTTCTCTCTTCAGGGAGAGGTGCTCTGACTTTACTAACACCCTTCCGGCGGCTCAGGGACAAACCTAAAATTAAGGGATGGGTTAAAGGATTTCTTTAGGTTCTTAATCTCATGTTTTGTAAAAAAAAAAAAAAATAAGTAAACATACCTGTTGTGAGTTGAGTTTTATTCCGCATCCGCATCTCTCTCTGTCTCTGGTAGGATCGCTCCATAAATGTCTTTTTTCTTTTCATTGTGACTGCAAATTTTAAAAGTCTTTACAGAAATCCTCATTTCAGTTAAACATTTGGCTAGGCAGTAGTGGTGCTTTGAAGCAGAGGCAGGCAGATCTATGAGTTCGAGGCCAGCCTGGACTATACAGAGAAACTGTCTCAAAAAACCATTAGGGGCTGATAGGATGCAAGACTTACCTGAAGGTGCCACTTGGGGTTGATCCACACAAGACTCTAATACAGCTCCATAAACAGAAGTTTCTGTTGAAGAAGCACCTGCCTGATTTTGAAAAGTAACTTTGTTTTGCTGTTTTCTAGGCTTTGTTAGAAAACAACCAAATCTTGGGCCCCCATTTTCCTTTGCAGACAAGGTACCATTGGGCAAAAGTTGCTGCTGGCACCAACTCCTGCATAACAACCTGTTTAAGGCACAAAACATGATGCTTGACTGAGGGGTTGAGCAAGTCCTCCACAGGGCTAAGGACATTTACCTGGGAACAGCTCTGTGCTTCACTGTCTCTCTCTTCAAGGGTTAAGTTAGCAAGATCTGTTTCAGCAATGCTGATGTCACTGGTGCTAACTAGAGTGAGATCTGGTTCTTCCATTATACCATAGCCAGATTCTGTTTCCTGTTTAATTCAAAGAGGAGCATGTCTTATGTTTGGGTTGATACAGTATTTGTAAAAGCCCTTTGTCCTGGAACTTGCTCTGTAATCTACCTGCCTCCCCAAGTGGTGAGATAAAGGTGTGCACCACCTGGTTAGATAGTCTAAAACTTTGCATTTGGATGCTCACCTTACTAGACCTGGATGGAGGTGGGTGGTCCTTGGACTTCCCACAGGGCAGGGAACCCTGATTGCTCTTTGGGCTAACGAGGGAGGGGGACTTGATTGGGGGAGGGGAAGAGATATGGGAGGCTGCGGTGGGGAAGAGATAGAAATCTTTAATAAATCTTTATAATAAATGAAGAAAGAAAACCCTCAGGACCTATGGGAGGAGCAGTGTGGAAGAACTGGGTGTCCTTGGTCTGGCTTTGAATTCAGACCCTTCTGAATTCATCACCTGCCCATCTCTGCCTTCCTAGCATAAAAAGACCACAGCTTGTTGACTGTAACATTGGAAATGAGTAGCCTAATGAACAACCAAACTTGCATGGCTGTTTTCAATTCTGCTGGAAAGATTTCTCAGGAAGAGGGTACTGTTTTACAAAACACACTTACCCAGACAGGAATAGAGCTCGGAAATGAATTCGTAATGTGTTCTGCTTCTGATACCTGAGATGGGTTTGTAGTTTCAGTTTTAAATCTGTTCTGAATAGACATTTCATTTTGAACACTCAATGAATGAGACCCCTCAGAGTTTTCTACAGGTGGATTTATAATAGCTTCATTCTTATCTTGAGTGAGCCTTTGGCTTTGTGGCAGTGTAACCACTTTTCTTAACAGCTCCTCAAAGCCCAGCATAGAGGTAGAAGAGCCTGGAGAGCTCCGCAGGAGGTGTAACTGATTAAATACAGTGGAACCATCGGGAGAACTGCAGCCTGGACTCTGGTTCTTTGTTGAGGACTGAAAATGAACACCTTTTTTCTTATTTTGTATTATTTCTGTCTGTTCAGAATAGTCATGGTTTTCCCTGCCTTGGGAGGCACCTCTTGCTTCGATGCTGTAAATACTTGGTAGATCAGCATGTTGGCTTTCCTGTGAAGAGAATTCTGGTAGAAGCTGCTTGAAAGATTGTTCAGGTCCTGCAGTAAAAAAAAGTTCACAAAGTCAGCATAAATACTGGATAGAGAACGTCACATTTTAAGTAGAATGCAAACAGGGTTTTATGACCTACAGTTTTAGATGGGAAAGTTGATATATAAGCACAATAAATCACCAGGGTTCTGAATAACAAATACTTTAGTTAAGTATATATTACATAATTACATTATTTAATGAACAGATCCTCAAAAAGGAAAGTCCTGGGCTTTCACGTACCTTCAGCAGCAAAACTCTGTGTTGCAGCATGAGCTAGGCTAACATCAGGCTGCTCTGAATTGGCCCTAAGTGCTGTGAAACAAGCTGTGCTTCTGGAGGATTCCTTAACATCATGTTTCTTAGATGAAGATTCGGAGCTCTGCTGAAAACAAAGGCTGAAATACTGACTCTATTATAACAACCCATACCCTGCCCGGAATGATCTAATTGCCGTGAGCTAATTAACCACTTCCTCTGATTTTTGTAAACCTACTTAATGCTGAGTGTGGGGGCTGGGATGGGGAAGGGGAATAGCACCTCTTGGAGCTACTAAGTCCACAAAAACAGCTGTTGTTTCTGCCTTTAGAAAAACAGTACTAATCCTATAATTTGTGTTGTCAAATGGTTTTAGTGAACTGTCAGCATGCTTACCGATGTCAGTATGAAAAGTATTTCCTCCCTTGGTGTTGAAGAATGAGTGCAAGGACTATTCAGTCCCAACCCCCTGGAAAGACAGGCTGGTCGTGATGGTATGCACCACCACGTGGGTCAGCCTGTCTTGGCAACTTAAGCTTGGACTACAAAAAAAGAACAGGATTAAACAAATCACTTATGTAAACTTTAATTTACCTCATGAAAGTCTCTGTTGTCTTGAGAAATCCCAGAGGAGAATGGTGATAAGTCAAAATCTAGATATGGCTTCAAGGGTTTAAAGAGCTGGTGATGCAAGTGTGGAAATACATGTTCCAGTTCTGGAAAATCAAGGTCCACGCCTGAAACTTGGAGGGAGGGAAAGAAAGGGAAGGTTTAGTGAGACTTGGAAAAGGGTTCAGACATTTCTGATACAGCAGGATTACTTCCATTTGTTTTCCATGCTCAGTCATGATTGTTACCGGGTATAAATGGAATCTTCTAGTGAGTCTAGAAACTAAAATTCAAATCTCCACTTTACCAGCTTCAGAGGCTTCTATGATTAATTAGGAATGAAAGCCACATAAGACTATCTGGGAAAGCTTAACTATAAGCTTTGAGTTCTTGCTCAGCTCACTTCATGATTAATAATGTAAAATGGGAAATGTTCACTATACTGTCTTGTTACTGGGGTGCACGTACTGGATCTTATGTGCAAATCTCATTTAATTTCAAATTCTTCAAGGGTTTCATGGCAGGAATCTCACTCAAATCCCTGCCTTAGTTGTAGGGAGATGTCTCCATTAATAATCTCTTCACACTTTTTTTGTTGTTTAAAAATTACCTTCATTTATTTATGTGTTTGATGTACTTGTGCATGCCACGGTGCACCTGCCACAATGCTTGTGTATAGGACAGTGATAACTTTCAGAAGTCAGATCTCTCAACCATGTGGGTTCTGGGGACTGAACATAAGGTGGGTCATGGGTTGACAGCAAGTACCTTTAATGTCAAGCCATCTGGCTGGCCCCTACCATTCTCCAGATGCCTTGTCTCATAAATGCCCTCAATATCTATGGCATAAATGATGTGCAGGTGATAAAAAATACGAAGCTCAAACAATACTTAAAACTAAAGACGATGAAAGGTGAAAGCTAGGAAAATATTCTTTTACCCTGCAAGTCTCTTTTTTCAGGTATCAAATTTGCTTCATGTAAATCACTGTCTATGATCTGTTGAACATGTGTATGATCGGATGCCTTTTCTTCCTCCTTGGGCAATAGAGACTCACTAGCACCCAAGGGGTGCAGCTGCTGATAAATGACTGGCGTTGAAGGCACTGCACAACTAAAAGGAGAAGTCTCTTCTTGTTTAGTGGTAGAGTCTTGTTCTTGAAGCTCCGTCTGTTCCGAAAATGACTCTAAAATTTGAGTTTAATCAAAACATTTAATTAACATTTGTAACACATTAATAGCTGGCTACTTCCTCACAAACATGGCTACTTCAGTATATTGCTGAAACTGATGCAATCAAGAAATCTGTTCAGAGACATTTCCACTAAATGGGAAGATGTGCCAAAGTGCATGAGTGACTGTTGTTTATAGTATTCTATTCAACACTGATTTTTCCTTTGTAGGCTTGAGACAGCTTTCTCCCAAACACACCACCAGGACACAGCATGGAGAAGCAGTGCTTCTTCCATCACCACACTGGCACGCAGCCAGTGCCGCTCCTTCACTGCATTCGCAAAGTTTGATAGTACCTGGATCTGTAAGGCTCAAATCTGTGACTTCATAGCTTAAGAAGCTTCCAGTAGAAACAGTTACTGAAGATAACAGCTC